ACCTTGGATCTATCTTTTCTCGTCCCAGCCTCACCCTGGGAGAACAACATTCCCCTGTCTCTCACCCAGGGTCCTCCACCAACCATTTACAACCCTCATGATTCCACAATCCCTGGACCTTAACAAGGCAGATGATTCCAAACAAAGAAGAGAAAGAAAGAAAGAAAGAAAGAAAGAAAGAAAGAAGGAAGAGAGAGAGAGAAATAAAATAAAAAAGACAAAAGACAAGAAACATTAGAGAAAGATACAAAAAAGTCCGATTTCCCATCTGCCGGTTACATAAAAAAGAAATATATATATATATTTAAGACATTCAGTCCATGCTAATCTCAATATTCACTTTCTATTAACCATTATATCTTTTAAATCTAAGTGTCTCAGATTCATTCATTTTCCCCATGAAAAGTCCAAGAGGGGTCATGTTCATGTTAAAATCTCTCCACTGCGATCACATATTGGGATAATATTCAATTTTTTCATCGATTTCTTCTAAACTAAAGCATGGGTATGCAAACTAAGGCCCAGCCCAAGCGCCTTCTAAATCCGGCCCAGCGTGTTTTTACATGAGTAGAATGTGTCATTTTATTTAAAATGCATCTCTGGGATATTTGTGGGGCATAGGAATTCGTTCATTCCCTCCCCCCCAAAAAATATAGTCCGGTCCCCCACAAAGTCTGAGGGATGGTGGACTGGCCCCCTGCAGAAAAATTTTGCTGACCCCTGGTCTAAAGCCTCTAGGTATTCTCCATTTCCATTTTCCATTTCATATATCTCTGATTCATTTTATTTCTTCCTTTCATAAAACAATGATCTTATCATTTTTAATTGTTCAGCCATCAACTGTTGAACAATACTAACACCGACTGGGAGATCCAATGGTATCGTTGTCATATTGGATCTTTCTGTTGTTTTGGATATTATTAGCAACTTAGTCTACCTTAATATTTTGAATTTAAGGTTCTACCTTAAAATCACTATCTCAATGAATCTTATCTCACCTGGATTTCCCCCCCACAGGAGTAATGGCTAATTAACTTTCAGCATCCTTAGCTGCAAAAACAGAAAAAGGGGTAAAGATTTTTTTTTTTTACAGAGAATTCCCTTGTCTGTTTAATCTTTATTATCAACCATAAATCAGGCTTTTCGCTCTGCCTTAGACACTGTAACTACCAGTTTTTCTTTTTGTTGTTCTTAATGACAGAAAGTGGTACCTACACATTTTCAGATTGTAAATTTTCACCAGCAGATAGAGGGATCTCTCTAAATCACAGTTTTCCTTGTCCCAGAAATGTTTAAGAAAGGTTCGTAAGTGGCATTTGGGTATGATATTGAATCTGCAGCAAGCCAGCTCATTCTAACTCCTGTCCAAGCTCACACTTCTCATTGAGCTTGTTTACATACTGAAGGTTTATACGTAGGAGACTTGTTTATAATTATATTTTGGGAATAATTCATGTTCTTATGTATCTGCATTGTTTTATACTTTCTGGATGTGCCATGAACATATTATAAAGTAGTTGTGTTCTTGTGTTAGAAATCAAGCACTGCTAGGAGTTTGTTTACTAACATGAGTTTGACCAAACTGCGGGAGGCAGTGGAAGACAGGAGTGCCTGGTGTTCTCTGGTTCATGGGGTCACAAAGAGTCGGACACGACTAAATGACCAAACAACAACAAGGAGTTTGTTTGTTTTTTGCTTTTTTATGTATTTCTGATCAATAATTTTTTTGTGTGTGGCACGAGCAAATTTTTATTCTGAAAGTGTGACCCAGGGGAAAAAGTTTGAAAACCATGACTAACAGGTACTTTGATTTATGTGGGTCTAGTCTGAATAGAACGTAGTTGAATTCTGTTTGGTTCAGATGATACCAATGGCATCACCAAATTTAGGTCATTGCAGGTGATTTCCCTGCATGGGGTCTGAGCCAATAGGGTGCGAAACAACAAGAAAACCTATATTTATACAAGTGCCTACTGAGTCAATCCATTAAAAAGCAACTGTACCAAAAGGAAGAATTGTGAAAATAAGAAGTGCTTTTGCGGTGGCACCCAATTTTGTTCTGGCTCAGGGCACCATATTAGCAAAATCCACCCCTGCCAATGGGTCCCAACCAAACCTGCATCTGTGACATGGAGGTTTGCAGTAGAGGGAACCTGCTAAGGTGGTCAAACCATTTGCTGACCTGGTAAAGTAGCTAGTCTGAATAACCAAGAAGCTGCCATTTTGTCATACAGGCAAATAAGCGGGCCTCCCTTTTCCTTCAGCTGGATATTTCACTCACTTCGCCCAAGGCCTTATCTTGAAAGACTATACCTAAACTAACCTCAGATTCTGGAATCCATCACAGGAGCTCAACCTTCATGTTCAGTTCCATTTTCACAGCTGCCAGACTCATAAAAATCAAAGTTATTCTTCATTACTATGATTCAAACTTGAATACAGATAAAATAATGTTCTTTGTTTCAGATCTAGTATTAAAGAACCATGTGCTGCCTTTAAAAGACCTTATAAATTCATTGTCACTAATCAAGCTTTAATGGGTCTAAGCCCACTTTATAGAATGCTTAAAGAGTTTCAGCTAAGTCAGGTATAGAGAATTGGTGGTTCTCTATAGTTGCTGGACGGCAACCGTGTCAACTCTGCCATTGACCCCACTGACTGGGGCAGATGGGAATTTGGGATCCAGCCACATGAGAGTCACAGCTTCCCCAGTTCTTAATTTTAAGTCCACATTCAATGCATCCCATTGACTTCTAACTGTTGCTGCTTTAGTGTGAATATTAAAAACAGAGTGTGTTCATTGTGTGCCTGTTTCATTTGGCTTTTTGGCAGGAAGACTGTAGATCTCACACAGAGGCTTAAATTGAAGAGGGCTGAATCCTGCCTCTGAAACCTGTGAAGGCATGTTTCCACATTCCCGTAGGAGGCTGGGCTTTAAATCATTACCTTCCAGCCTGCATGCAGATTTGTGGAAGCGAATCTCAGTTAATCATAGGATAAATTTAGAAATCAATTATTATTTGCCAAAGTGGTTTCCCTCACTTTCCTTAATGAGAAGGTTGAAGGGATTAATCTTCTCTTCCCTGACCCCGGTATGTATGGATGAAGGGCAAGAACACTTAGCATGCCTTTCCCTTTCCATATGCACTTGGCCCTTTAGAAGATCAAGTCTGAAGTACCTGGATGTGAAGCTGCAGAGAAATGGTTTTCCTTGTTTAGGACGATTCTCTTCATTGGAGGCCTGATGCATAATGCAATGAAAGAAGAGGTGTGTTCTTTGAGACTCAATTGCAGGGCTGGGAAGCTGCATCTAGTTCAAGTGGGATCCTGCATTTGTGATCTGGTTGGAGGGGAGCAGATGACTCTTAAATGCCTCTTGCCTCCTACGGTAGGATGAGCTGAGCTGTCGGTGTTGATGAGTATATTTTTTAAATGGGAAATAACTCCCCTAAACATAGCAATATCATCAGCATCTCTTACTCCCTACAAAATAAGCTCTGAATGGATGTGTGCATTTCCAAATATTTAATTTACATCTCACTCTTCCTCCTAAGCGAGTCCTAGGTGGCTTGGCTGCCAATATGAGCAGCTTACTAACCAACTATTATGACACTGGGTTATATCTAGTGCTTGTCCTCCTCAAAGTAGTTCCTCTGAAGTTAATAGGAACAATTTAGGTTTATTTATTTTAGTACGTCTAGTTTGAGTAAAACTTAGTTGGATATAACCTACTTCTTTTGCTTTTGGATGTCACAACCTTCCCCTTCCCCAAATGTCCTAAGCTCTGAATAGTCCTCTGCTCATCTATGTGGTTTTTGAGCTTCTAAACAGGCATTTTTCACAACTGCCAAAGACTCTTGGATGTACTTTCCACAAAGCTATTGGCAAAGATTTCCTCCAGCATTTTCCTGTGCATGCCTTGAATACAAGAAGAATTAGGAGCACAGGAAACTGTGTTACACTGAGTCAGACCATTGGTCTATCTAGCTCAGTATTGTCTGCACTGGCTGGCAGTGGCTCTCAAGAGTTTCAGACAAGAAATCTTTCCCAGCCTAATGTGAAGATGCTGGGGGTTGGAGCTGGAACCTTCTGCATGCAAACCAACACACACTTTTCTCCTCCTCCTCCTCTTCCTCCTCCTTCCCAGCGCCATTATAAGAAGTCATTCTGTACTCCTGCTCATTTTACAAATGGGGAGCAGAGTCCTTATACCTTGTCCAGGATCATCCAGTTAATGTGGGGCTTCTGATGTGTATATTGTGGCTTGTCAATCATGGAAGGATAGGTCTGCTACATGTGAACCTCCACCGTCACATGTAGTGTACAGTGCCTCTGAATTCCAGTTGCTGAGGTGTGAGAACATGGGAGGGCATTTATTTACTTATTGAAGTATTTAAAACGCACACTTCCATAAAAATTGCAAGGTAGTATATAACATACAAGAGGTATATAACACACAGTCGTTCCTTGCCTTGCGACTCAGATGTTTTGGCTTCCGAACACCACAAACCCAGAAGGGAAGTGAGTGTTCTGGTTTGCAAACGCTCTTTGGAACCCGAACATCCGTTTCGGCTGTCAGCATTGTTTCCGGGGCCAATCAGCCAATCGGAAGCCGTGCCTTGGTTTGCGAACCTTTTGGAAGTCGAACAGACTTCCTGAACAGATTCCGTTTGTCAACCAAGGTACGACTGTATTCTCAAAAAAGTAAAATTGTTTGTGACTGTATCTGGCTTCTGTAAGGCAGTCTTACTCCCAACACCCATCATCTATTTTCCAAGCCAGGTCCTGAGAGGGGACAGCAGTTACTGCGTATGCCTGAGGGTCCCCTTGTTTGGGGGTGGGGTGGGGGCTCCCTTAGCTGCAGCCACCGCTCTTCACAAGTCAAAAGAGGGTCCACCAATGGCTTACAGTCTACCCAAGTGGGCTTTGGGTGGACATGATTGATTTCATTAGACTGGTCATTTGATCTGGGTCAGCTGAAAAAACAGGGCATTTGATTCTTCCAGTTGAAAAGGTCCATGTTGTAGAGGTGGCAGTCGTTGTACCACCAACTCTTTTATGCACCTGTGCATATTTCCGGTTCTTGGGCTCCTGCTGTTTGTCCTTGGTTGAGAAAGGCATGACAAGAAAGCGAATTGCCTGTGAGGAAGAGAACAAACTCCAGTCAAAGTCAGACCAAGTTTGCACATACGTGATAATCCCTCTGTTGCCAGTTTGTAAGGCAACAGAGGGAAAAGCCAGAGATTCTGGCTACACACCATCAAGGCAAAGGAAACCGTGGACCTCATTTTCCCTCTGCTACAGCATCACCTATATAATGGCCAGAGAGGCCACTTTAGTCACTGTGAACTGTAAGGGAGGGAGGGAGAAGCTGGACCATGTTGCACTCCCAATGACATCACCAGGGGGCGCAATAGAATCACCCAAGGTCTATTATCCTTTGCAGTAAAAAAAAAGGCTTGTAGCAACACCTTGGGGTGCAGATCCCAAAGCAGCAGCTGCCACACCCCCCACCCCCAAGTGTGACACATAAGGTTAGAATGGTCTTTAAAGGGTGTCACACATAAAACCATCCTCCCCACCCCAGAAGGGCCTCACTCTCCTTGCCTACTTCAGCTGGCCCAAACATTTCTCCAAGTCTGGGGGGAGTCAAGCTGCCTGCTACTTCTCCCCAGCCCTGTGATTCCACACCACAGCCACCCTTCCTCCCTAGAGGTGGGCAGAGGATGGCTATGGAAGGAGACCTAGACACAGTCACAGTCCGGCAGGAAGCTTCTCACGTGTGCATCTGGTGACTCTTGCACCACTCTCTTGCTGTGAGATTTGAACCCGGGTTTCTCTGGGTCCAGTCCAACACAGCACACTGGCTCTCCCACCTTCACAAGGAGAGGACCCCGGAGATGGCGGTGAAATAGAAAGTGGAGGTCAGAGCAGAAGGACCTGAGTTAAGGAGTGCCATTTACCCAAGGAGGTCAGCAGGTGAAGGTGGTCATTTCCCAGCCAGAATTCCATCAGCTGGCTTCCAAAACCTCTCTTGCAAGATCCCAGTCCCTGTAAAAATCCGCAGAGCCACCACGCCACCTTGGGAATACCTGCAAGGACATGATGACAAGGTATCTTTTAGGTCTTTTCCTCAAAATGGGGCAGAAAACTCAAACGTCTGCTCATAATATATTCCTAAGTAGGTTAGATGCAGCCCACCAGGATGGTCTTCTGCAAAATCCCTGCAGAAAGGAAGGCAAGCAACTATGGTCCTTCACAACCAAAAACCCTGAAAGGGAAGGTTCCTCAGCTCCGGGATAAATTTTCGCCAAAATAGCATCAATTGCTGCAGGATATATTTTTTTTGTGGGGGGTGGGTACATGTCTTTCAATTCCCCCCTTTTTATAACTGTATTTATCATTTTTCATTAAAGTGTTTTACATTTCACTGAATATAACCGTACATTTAATCCTTGACTTCCCTTCCCCCTTCCATGGTTCTATTTCTTCATCCATTAAGACGGCCTATTCTAATTTCCCCTTATATTCATATTTCTCCCTTCCCGCTATATCTATAATACTTTACACTGCTGAATTTACAATGACTCTGCTAACGTTTTAACCTGATTAACAAACAATGGTGGAAATCTGCAGGGCCTGCTGGGCTCAGCAATGCCTACACCACTTAGGACCCTCCTGAATGCAGGGGACGAACTAAAGCTCGTCCCCAACAAGAAACCACGGCTCCCCTTCTCCCCTCCCCTCACCCATCCCTCCCACACTCCTCTAGCTATACCACTGGGTGGTACCCCAGAACCAAGGGGGCACTGCTGCCTCCAGTTACCAAGGTCTCTCTAGGTGCTCCTGTTTAACCTCTAGCAAGTTTTCCTTGGGTTTAGGTGGCTTTCACTCCAGGTAGAAAACATGGCTCCTGTGTCTAATTGTCAATTGTACTGGTGGTCGTCTATGTGCATTTTGTCCATGGGGTCAGTGACAGAGAGGGTTAAGACGGGACACAGGAGTTCTGAGTGGATGGGATTCCTATTTAGTTGGCGGCATTCTCCTTTCTCGCTTCCAGAAGGTTTTGGAGGTGGGGCAAAGGCGGCAAAGGCACCCACCTCCCCTCTTGGTTGGTAAGAACTATTAGTCTGTTGATGAGGTGCCTCGCCCCTCAGAGCATGCTCTTGCAGGCATTTGGGAATTATATTTTGCCACCTCTTTGAATTCTTTGGGTTAGCATTGTTGGCTTGTGGGCAAAATCTCCTATATTGTCCAACTTTGCTGTACTGGTAACACTCATTAGTTGGGCAAGACCCTTCCCTCTGTGTCAAAGCTGAGAGGTTTACTGAGTGGGCACAGACTCACCTTGGTCAATGGAGGGAACCTCTCATCCCCTGACTCGATGTTTCAAATTCTCCGGAGGCTTCATATGTATTTAATCCCCTGATGGGCTAGGGTTGGATGAGGTGGGGCTGGAGGTGTTATTTCAGAGGGCTGGGTGTCTGGCAATATGGAGGGTTGGGGGGGCAAAGATGGTGGGTCAGGTAGGGTAGGACCCCTGCCAGCAACGCTGGGCAGGGGTCTCCAGCAGGTGGGGAGGGAAAGGTGAGAGGGGGGTGCCCACCCATGTAGATGCGAGCCAGATGGTCCTGCTAATGGCTCAGGGTAATCCACATGGATGAGCAGGGAGAGGGGTGCCAGGCCCTGCCCAAATTGGGCTGCTGGCTTCGGCAGGGACATAGGCGCCGACTCCATGGGGCTTGAGGGGGCTCGAGCCCCCTCAAAAAAATTTTTTGGGGGGCTCAGCCCCCCCAATAATCTCGGGCGCCGGGGCGGGGGCTCCTGCCTCGCTGCTTCGCAGCACCACCGCCACTGCCAAGGCACTGCCGGGGGGAATTTCCTTCCTCCTGGCGGTTTCAGCCCCCGCGAGAACAGGGGAATCCCGACTGGCCACACCTCCCAGCCAGCCAATCGGCTGGCTGGGGGGGCGTGGCTTGCCCTATTTAGGGCCGGAGCCACTTTATTTGCATATTCATGAGCTTATTTATTATTCATGAGCTTTCCCGGGCCCCCCAATATTTTTTATAAGTCCGCGTCCCTGGGCAGGGAGGGGGGCTGGGGAGGGGGCACCGGCTGAAAGAAGCTTTTGGAGTGTTTTTTAGGCCTTTCCTCAAGGGTTATTTTGTTCTCTGGGATGCCCCCTTTCTGCACTTCTGGGGCTTTGGTATTTTTTTCTTTGGGGGGGGTTTCTCTTTTTGGGGGTTAGGTATGCCTATGCCATTCATGGCCAGGTCTCTCCTTTCTTCCTTCCCACGGGTGGGCAGGCTTTTTTGGAAACCGTCAGGGATAGGTTCTAGGGTCCTTCTCCATCTCAGGCCTTCACTCAGGTCTAGAAAAAAAGAAATGGAGTTACAATCATTATTTTCAATGCCAAGGCTGTCTTTAGCATATGCGCCACCAGGGTGCAAAGATCCGCCCAGCGCCCACAAATTTAGTTTAGCAGCCCCCAGATTTGGGGGGGGGGGCAACTCAAAGGAGAATCGCTCACCCGTAACAATGATGCAGCAGAAATAACTGTTTTTGTTTCCTGACTCGGCTCAATATTTGATGCTACGGAGTAACAGAGCGATGGAGGAGGCGGGCGGGGACTTTTCCTCCATTGCTTTTCACTGCCGTCGATCGAGAGGGACCAGTATACAGTACGTATACATTTGGTGCCCCCCATAATTTGTTACCTGGGTCCACCACACGCCTTGCACCCTCGGGTAAAGACGGCCCTGTTCAATGCAGCTAATTTGTCCATAATGGAGAGTCTTCATTAATTCCAATGTATTATATCCATATTTAGAGCTTTTAAACCGATACATCTTGTTTGTTCAAATTTTGGGTAAATTTGCACCCCCAGATATCTAAAACTTTTCCTAGCTATTGGAATCTTCAACATTGCTGTTAAAGTCTGTTGTTTATGAATAGGGTGGTGTATGAAAAAGCATGACCTTCACTTTCTTAAAAGTATCCTGCAATCCTGAGACCCTGGAGAACTGTTCCAACTGTGTAGATAGTATTTTTCCTGCTGTGATAGGGTCAGAGGTGCATAAAATTATATCCTCTGCAAAGAGGCTTGAATTTTGTTCATTTCTGTTTGCAACCACTGCTATATGAGTAGGTACCAGGATGGGTTGGGCTTCTACCTGCTGGAAGACCAGAAACATTTCCTTGTTTGCAGCTGATGGCATAGGGACAGGGCTCCCAATCTGGACAGTGGGGTTCCTCTATTCCAGTGGAAAGGGGCCTAAGTTTCCATGATGGTAGAGGCCCACCCCGGTCAAAGATTTAGGCATCGGCTAAATCTTACACCTATTAAGCTCACCTGTTTCTATAATTCGGTGAGATAGGGGTTACAACAGCAACAAAGATCATCGTTCATCTAAGGAACAATTGCTATTTCAGGCTCTCACACGAGAGCAGAATCTAATCAAACTGCTTTTGGTTCTGGATCAATGTGGAACATTTATGGATATTTACTTTTTTATCTACTGCTTTTCCTCCCAAACTGATGTTTTGTGTTGTTGTTCCCTAGAAACTCTTGGTTTGTAAGCTGCTTTGGACAAGTGCAATGTATGTTGTTCTACAAAATGCAGTGTAGATAGACAGTAGTACCAAAAATAAATATGTGATTTTGAAGAAGCCTCAGACTTTATCAGCACATCTAGTGAAAGATATATTCAAGACTAAGTCCCACTGAAGGCCATTGAATGGGCCTTAATCATGGCTTATCTAAGCCCCATGGAGGGTACTGGGACCTTGTCTAACTGGGGTGGCTTTTTAAAGGAATCTGCCTTTCTCCATTTTCTCTTGCTGTCTATCACAAACACACTTGCATGTATGCTACCATCTCTTAAGTTGTCCAAAGGTTTCATCCATTCCCCAGCTATAAATCCTTAACTTCTCAGTTGGCTTCTCTGTCTGCTTCATGGGACAATGAAGCAGAACAGGTGAACATCTAGATGGCACAGTTTCCTACCTGCCATGTTGATAGGAATGCTGACACAAAAACCACAATTATCTAATCTGAGAGCACACCTTGCACTGCTTACTGAACAACGTCCGGTAAGAAGTGGGCAACGGAATAGCGATGATGCAAAGTTGTTTCCTGCTGTCTCTACGGTAACCCTGCAGAATGTGAGGAAGGAGCTAGGAGAATATTAGAATCAGAATCAGATGATGTCATCATGGAAGGTGGAAGAGCAGCCCAGGAGTGAGAAAAGGGTGATCAGTTCACCCTGTTTGACCATTATCTACACAAATGCTCCCTACACATGTTTAAACATAGTCAAAACAAAAAAAATTCCTTCCAGTAGCACCTTAAAGACCAACTAAGTTAGTTCTTGGTATGAGCTTTCGTGTGCATGCACACTTCTTCAGATACCAAGTGTGCATGCACACGAAAGCTCATACCAAGAACTAACTTAGTTGGTCTTTAAGGTGCTACTGGAAGGAATTTTTTTTGTTGTGACTATGGCAGACCAACATGGCTACCTATCTGTAACTGGAACTATGTTTAAACATAGTCATCTGAATTTTCCTTTGGAGTTTGTTACTATCTTCCATGGAGACAATGTTGGAAAAAGAGAATTGCACTCTGGAGATGGCCAGCCAAGAGGAAGTTGTAGGAAGTACTCAAACCGTACAGTTCCTGCCTTTGTGAATAGCAAGCATGGTGTAGTGGTTAAGAGCGGTGGACTCGTAATCTAGTGAACTGGAATCAATTCCCTGCTCCTCCACATGCAGCTGCTGGGTGACCTTGGGCCAGTCACACTTCTATGAAGTCTCTCAGACTCACTCACCTCACAGAGTGTTTGTTGTGAGAGAGGAGGGGAAAGGAGATTGTTAGCTGCTTTGAGTCGCCTTAAGAGGAGTGAAAGGCGGCATATCAAGTCCAAATTCTGTTGAACAATATTGAGCACAATAGTGTTCAAAGGTAACCTTGGAGGTCATCTAGTCAAACTCAGAGCAGGAAGTTTGCAGCTACAGCATCTCTGACTATCCAAGGGTGCCTAATCTGTGGCTTTCTATATGTTGTTGGATTACAATTCCATAATCCTATGGTAGCTAGGACTGATGGGAGCTGGAGTCTAGGGACATATGGAAGCACACAGCTATCCCTGCAGTATGTAGTGCAGTTGAATCACATAAATTAGAAAATAATATTATAGAAAATGGTAATAACCTTGGCGAGCAAAATTCACAAAGTGTGGCACCTACAGCATTACACTACACAGCGTTAGCCTTCATACAAGTAAAACTAAACTGGAGATAATAAAAAAAAAGCTTCCAAACAGCCACTCCTCTTCACGTTACCTGCACCCCTCTCCATGTCTATTGTACAAGAATGCAGAATGTATCATGTCCTAAGAAGAAACCACAAGGTCCGCAAGAGAGGCTACACACTGGGCTGCCTTCCCCTCCTAGAGAAGGAGCTCCTTTCTCACCTTGTGGCTGGCTGGCTGGCTGGCTCCTTCCCTGACCTAGCTGTGCTCTGGTGTCCAGGCAGAGAGGTGGATGCTGGTCAGCAGAACAGGCTCTGTGACCTTAGTGAGTAGCTAAGGGAGGCATTGTGAGCTCCTCATTCAGGGGCTGTTTAAAAGGCCAGGCAGGCACCCTACAAGCTAGCTATGGTGTCCAGACAGAGAGAGGCTGGTCAGCAGGACAGCCTTTGGCGGGGACAGCCTATGCAACTTTACCAAATGAGACTCCCCTAAGGCCAGGCTGCTGCTGCTGCTGCTGCACCACCAGCACCAGGTAGAGATGCAGGCCCCTGAATGAGTGTCTCTAAGACTTGCCTGCCTGCCTGCCTGCCTAGCTAGAAGATAGCTAAAAGTCAGGGGCGATTCCTGCTAAACCTCTACATGCAATGAATTTCTCAGAGCAGAGCCTGCCATCCTTAAGGCTTAGTCCATAGTAAAGTTCAGACAGACCTTAGGCATGTAGGGAACTATTACAAGAATTGCCTCAGCAGAGATCTCAGGGGCTAAGATGGAGCATAAGAACATAAGAAGAGCCTGCTGGATCAGGCCAATGGCCCACCTAGTCCAGCATACTGTTCTCACAGTGGCTAGTCAGATGCCCTTGGGAAGCCTACAGCTTGGACTAGCTGATTCTCCGTATCCCTTCCAACTCTACAATTCTGTGATACTACAAGGTATCAGACAGTCCATAAGGTGCTTTGGCCTCATGTTCTTTAGGGATTTGTGGATTAACACAAGTATTTCGAAGTTGGCCCAGTAGTTACTGCTTCCAAGCCATACTTGTGGTCTTCCTAGAGCCATCCAACAAGTCACTATGGGAAATGGGATGCTAGAATAGATGAACCATTGTCTGATCCTACCATTATCTTGCTGCTCAGTGCCTCCTAACTATGCTCACTGGACCACATTGGCACATGTTCAGTTAGCCCTAAATGGAGACTGTATGCTACTATATGCTACTTCCTGTGCTCTGAAAATGACAACATACAGGCACCCCATCACTTCCGCACAATCAACTCACATGACCATGTATACACACAGTATGGGGAAATAAATAATTCATTTCATACCTGAAAATGGCAGAAGAGAACCAGAGAGTCCTCGTGGCCCACAAGAGACCCTCCCGGTGCCCAAAGAGGACATCAGTGAAAGTGGAGGAAGCACCGAAGAGACCGGACGTGCAGTGGGGCCTAACAGCTG